TCTGCCCGGTCCAGCCAATCATCGTCTGAAGTGGGGGGTCCTTTGCCCGAATTTTGAGTAACCAGGGCAAGTATTTACCATTCAGAGGGTGCTTGGCAAAAGGACTTCGAAAGTTACGTTCACCGGGGGTACACGTGTTCGGATCCCCGTAAACACGCCCTGTGGTGACTATTAAGTGTGCGTCCCCAGAACAGTAAGTAAGCCTACATCCACGAATCTGTGAAGGGTACCACTACGGGCTGTTTCTATTTAATTAGTGCAAATTTAATAAAGACTCCATACAGTTAATTGGTGTTGTGGTGATTTCCCTACGCCTAAAGCCCCACTAATCACCCAAGTCGTGGCCAATCAACACGCCCTGAGAGGAATCGAATTGCTCTACCTGAACTAGCAGAACCGAAGAAAGCGGTTACAGATCTTAGAGAGATAGGATAGGATTGTATGGATTGGATACATCTGGCTCAGGATAGGGACCAGTGGGGGGCTTTTGTGAACACGGTAATGAACCTTCGGTTTCCATAAAATGCTGGGAAATACTTGAGTAGCTGGAAGAATTGGGGTTCCTCCAGAAGAGCTCAGCTCCATGAGTAAGAGTAAGTAAGTCGAGCAAATATTATCTGCTAAATAAAGGATCTACTTGCTTTAGTTAGGTAATTAGCTACAACCTGACAATGAGAGTATTGCAGCAGTTGGTTCATATAGAATAGCATGGCTTTAAAACGTTTTCTATGCAATAAGGAATATGTATCATGTTTTAAGAGATTCGGACCAGAGTTAACTCAGATATATAGAAGCGTAGTGCCTGTTGAAGAGCTAAATAATTAAAGGAAGTTTATTAATTTTGTAACCCTGATTTATCAAGCTGCACCGCAAAAATTCCTGATCTTTCCACATATCCGTTTTCGATTTAAAGCGCCTGACGAAGGCACGTCAAAACAAGACAGTTTGCGCAGTCTATTGGAAATATCGGTAACTTCTCATATATTACAGTTCGGAACTTTGTCAGTTTTCCTAACTTCTTGTGGATCGGGAGCGATCAGGAGTGTGGGCATGTTGGCATACTTGCTCAAGTTATTTGAATCTATCAAAGAAAAAATGCTGAAGTGATTTCATGATTGAAAAGAAGTGCATGTATTGATCGACATGTAAGATTCTGTCGTTGTCATCCTTTGGTTGTGTATAAATGTGAACACTTACTTCAATATCTAATTTAAGTCATTTTAAGGGAGGAACATAGACTGAGAATGTTTGAGAACAAGGTGTTGATGAGAATATTTGGATCGAAGAGAGATGAAGCGACAGGAGGTTGGAGAAAACCGAATAATGAGGGGTTTTATAACTTGTACTCTTCTCCAAATACAATTAAAATGATCAAGTCAAGGAGGATGAGATTGGAAAATCATATAGCACGAATGGGAGAGAAGAGCAATACGTATAGGATATTGGTGGGAAAGCCAGAAGGAAAGAAACCACTGGGAAGACCAAGGCGTAGGCGGGTGGACAATATTAAAATGGATCTTAGAGAGATAGGATAGGATTGGATGGATTAGATTGATCTGGCTCAGTATAAGGACCAGTGGAAGGCTCTTGTGAACACAGCAATGAACCTTCGTGTTTCATAAAATGCTGGGGAAATTCTTGAGTAGCTGCAAAATTGGCGGCTACTCAAGAAGGGTTCAGCTTCAGGGCTGAGTTCGTAGACTATGTGAATACCACCAGAGTTACGTATATTTTCTGGATGAAGTGAGAAACACATCAAATCCCTCCTTCCTGAAGTCTCGTGTCGAATTATGTACTCGAGGCGGGATTTCGAACCGCCATTTGAGGGGAAACACTGTTTGGGAACACATTAGTTTGCATGTCGATAAATGTAGAATAAATCAAGATTATTTTCTCTTGGCTTAGCTTGAGTTAATGTAACTCAGGTTGGTAGCACTAGGTACTTAAGCCACTCTGGCTTCCGCTCTATTTCTCATGTGGACGTGATAGAAATTAAACCAGAAAATGAGAATTCCAAACACGCAATAAAGTCATAATTCATTATGCATATCTCTTGAGACAAGTAGGGGCTGCTAAATTAGGCAGTAATGGAAAGAAGAGAGGAGAGGAAATTTGCCTTAAGCTACCAAATTATTGTATATGAAAATTCCATGTTATTTTTTATTTATAACAAGATGCAGCTAATAAATAAAGAATATTGTATAGTACGATGAAATGTAGCTTATATACAGTTTTCATCGTTACGGGTTTATTACTTGAATTACCACAGCCATTTGTTGGCAGAATTAGACTATGTCGTATATAACAATCAAAGATTCAGTATGCTCTTTTCTTTTTTATGATTTTTACGGAATACGACGTGGATCATGTTATTACGGCTTACATTTTAATTCTAAATAGAAAGCATTCAACGAATTGGTCTGTCCAATAGTCATCTAATCAGTCAGTCAACTGATTATGTATTTATGAAATACAGTGCAAACAATTGATACGGAATAATCTAATTTTTCAAAGATCTTTGTGAAAATCGTCCCATGTATTTGGCTTCTCCACGCTAACCCTTTAAAGGAAAAAAAATCATCTACATTGCAATTAAACAATTAGTCCATACCTCCAAGAAAATAAGCCGTATCTCTGTTACAAATATGAAAACATTTCATAATTACGTTTGATGCATTCAACGGAACACACAAAAAATTATTCTGGAAAAATAAATTACGATAGTATCATTCATCAGTAAAGAATGCAAAGTTACAAACAACAATTTCATGCTCTGATGCGTGAACGTAATCTAATTTAATGCAAACTGAAGTTATGTGACGCAACTGTGCCGTTGGGAATAAGTGGATGCGCAGTGATGGGATGCACAAACGTAAACTAGCCTAACCTAAAATTGCTCAATCTGACCAATTGCCGCCCAGTAAGCAGGAAGATGCGTAATGGTGTTATGCGCAGACTTGACCTAACCTAACTTTGCTCAATCCCACCAATTGCCGCCCAGTAAGCAGGAAGATGCGTAATGGTGTTACGCGCAGACTTGACCTAACCTAACTTTGCTCAATCCCACCAATTGCCGCCCCAGTAAGCACGGAGTTTCGCAATATTTTCATGCACAAACATAACCTAACTTAACCTGACGTTGCACAAGCCAATAAGTGCTGCAATGATGGGGGAGGTGCACAGTTCGATGCACGAACCTATTTGTTACAGTTGTGTATCCCGCCTCACGAGTCTGAGCGTCTGTCGTGTTTTGATCAGTGACTACAAAAGACTGGGAATTGCGGCGTTGGGTTGACCCTAAATGTTACATCATCCAAGCCGAATTTCGCGAGAATCAGGCGAGTGGTTCGAAATATGAATTTGAAGTAGCGACGATAAACAGTGCCTACCCGGCGTCATGACTTCCAGGCCTTGTTCCAGTGGTCGTAAACGAATTTGGCAAAAGTATATTTCGACTTACTATTTATTGCGATAATCGACGCCTGTCTGTAGGTCGTGGATATTACTAAATAAAATACGAAAATATAATCGAGGAAACATATAAATACAATTATCTGGAACTTCTTAATATTTTGAATGCATCCTTCAAATTTCTCTTATTAATAGGAGGAATTATTGTTTTCTTAGGTAACTTTAGAACACCACGGACTGCTAAAATAAAAATGAAATCGCTTTATTTTAACAGTTTGTTGATACATGCATAGTAAATATATAGCACATTGGTTACTATACGTACCATCCGATTTAATATTAAGAACTCTTATATTGTCCAAAAAGTGTATGTATGTTTACCACTGGTGTCCTTCAATGAGCAGACGTTATTTTCCCAAGTACGAGTAATATTAAGAAGCTGGTCTTTGTAAGGGAGACACTAGTGTTTTCGGCGTAGTAGGAAAGAAAATTTTAAGGATTGCTTATGTCCGCTTAAGACTTCAGTGAGTTAAATTCTTTTCATCGCTTCTGGAGGATAATTACTTTACAGGAATTTGTTTATTCATATTAGTAGTTATCTTTCGATGTTAGTAATTGTTTTAGGAGATGCCACATTTTACACCTTAATATAAAGCAGTAATATTGATTTGTAGTGTGATGCCCAGTTGTTCGTCAGTAATATCAATATAAAGACAGTCAGCTAACTAAATGATTGCTTCATTAACTTCGTGGCGTTCTTGTTGAGAAACTGTTAGTCATGCAACAGCTCAAGACATTTATAATGGAACCAGATGGCTTAATACCATGTTCAGAAAATTCCGCCACTGAATCATAACCTGAGTCAAAATTCAGTCCACATCCTCGGATCGCATTTGTTTGCCTTTATAAATAAT